TATAAAGCAAAACTGGCAGGAAAACATGCAGTAGAATGGCATGCAGAGCAGCCCAGAGTGATGAAATATGTAAAGCAAGATTACTGGTGATATTTCACATACTAAGATGGTACTGCAATCAAAACAAATTTTCAGCAGCTTACTTAGAACAAGTACAGATGGGAACATCCATGGAAGGAATAAAAAAACTATAAAAACAATACAGAATACAACATGAATTACAGATAAAAATAATTAAAAATAAAGATAGTAACATTTACAGCAGGGGAAAGCTCTGCAAAACAATCAAGAGCTTCTGAAATAGCAACAAAAAGGAAATCAGTCTGGTCTCTACAGAGGGCTGTTCCATAATGTCAGCAATGCTATAGTTTAATGCAGTGGTTCTCAACCTGTGGGTCGGGACCCCATTTGGGGTCGAATGACCATTTCACGGGGGTCACCAAACCATGCTGTCCGCCATTTTTTCCCTTTTCCCTAGCTGTCCTACTCCCTCTTATTGGTGGCCACACCCACTTGGGGGTCACCACAACATGGGGAACTGTATTATGGGGTCCCGGCATTAGAAAAGTTGAGAATCACTGGTTTAATGGTTGCAATGACATTTAAGTAACTTAAAATATTTCAATTTTTCTCCCATCAAATCAATATAGTGAATAATATAAATGCAACAGACCTACTGATGAAAATGCTGTGAGTTTCCTATCAATATGGTTAAGACCAGGGTTGAGGGGTGGAGAGAAAGCACCTAGTAGTATATATATAAAAATTTCCTTTCTGATATAACCAATATGACAAAAAAATTAGTTAATCCAGTATTTTGCTAGCAAGAGTTTTTGCACCAGATTAAACAACTACTACTAAAACAATTAAATCTGTTCATTTCCAAATTTTATAAAATCACATTGGGTGCATCAGCAAAAATAACAGATTTTTTATCCAATAAAAATATAATCTTCTTCATCCTCTAACAAACCAGTAGACATGGCCAAAGCCAGATTAATGTAAGGAGTCTTAGAACATTTACAATACAAGATAAATTTTAACATCTAAATTATTAAAGGTGAACTATTTGACACTATGTTATAAACAACATAGCAAATTTAATGTTATCAAATCAGATTCATAATTATTTTAAGCCTGATCTAAAAAAAATAGGGAGGATAGACATGGTCATGTTTTTTAAATATCTTCTTTAGGAGGCAATAGGTTTACTACCACTACATCATAGTCACTATCCTATAAGGTTAGCTAAGGATAGTAACCAATTCAAAAGTATCCAGTTAAATATACAGCTGAATGGAAGCTACATCACGAATTCTCCTGATTTTTTGTAACTTTTATTTCCTCCAAACAAATATTAATTGAAATTAGAGGCCTCAAATGACAAACATTTCAAATATTTTGGAACACAAAACCACTACAATTATTAGAAAATAGTTTGATATAGGATCATTCAATATAATAAAGAAACCTTAAAGTATACAATGAAAAAGATGAAGCTCTGTAAAAACAAACAGAATTTTAATATAAATGCAAAAATATAATATACAAAATGACATTTTACCAAGTATGAACAGCTAGTTAAGTATCATGCATATCAAGTAACAATGATCTATTGAACTAAGAAAGCTACAGATGGCAACTTATCCAAATCTTTACTGGACAAGTTTAAGCTGTTCTCTAAGACACCATGCAGACTACACACTGATAAAATAGACAGAATCATGTTGCCATGAATTCTTGAACCAAGAAAAAAAAATGAACCATGAAAAAAATTAGTGATGCAATGGACTAAAATGTTTTAAGTTATCAATTTACTATGTTCCCTTTTACATCATGGCTACACCGGATTCTAATTTCACCTATCTCATCAACAATATTTTATGACAATATTATGATTCAGGAGACATACTTCTCACAATCCATCTATCTTCTGATTTGTCATAAATAAAATATGCAACACAATGCTGTCTAATGTCTTTGTATTGCTGTTTGTTGTATTGACTGGTCATTATCTACAATAAAACATTTCATTAACACTCCTGAATATTTTTTTTATAAAACTTTTGATTGGTCAGCTAACTTGTTTGAAGTGAAATGTTAGCATCTGATAGCTAAATCTTTTAAACTGAGTTCAATAAACTAAGCAAACCACTATGATCAATTAGCAAGTAACTGAATTTTCTGCCACATTCATAAACAATACTGGTGGCAGGAACTACAACTGCCATTCCATTGATGCTGCCTTAACTAAAAATACCACTATTCATTTTACAATAAATCAGTATGGCTAAACATCTATTCTTTATTTTACAGAATTGTGTATTAAATGTGCATATTGATGTACTTTTCTCAATCCTGTTTGGATACTTTTGTTGCGATAATAACTAAACAGAAAGTAACTTCCATATTTATTTGGCATTTTATCAATTCCAAACAATCAGTACTCAGAAATAATACAAAAACTAATAGATTGCTTGGTTTAACCACACCTACTGGGATGAAGGAACAAGCAAAAGTAATAAAGTAGGATATAGTAAACACTTTATAAAAAGTATTCCTTGAATTAAACATACCAAGACAATTAGTAAATTCTAATTTTATAGCTGAAGATTGATACGTATTTATACTATGAATTTTACAAATGTTCAGTTTGTAGGTGATATGCAATCTCTAAAATTTGCCAATATATTAAGAGAAACAAAATTGAGAATTATTTCTTCAGTAATCATTGGCAATCTGAGGCCTGGGACAATTTTGAATTATTGTGTCTCGACTATTGAATATGTCAGGGAGTAAGAAATCTTGAGTGCACCTGGTTATCTAAAGTAATAACTCCTATCCATAATTACTTGTTTACTAAATTAATGGTATAGCTCTATCATAAATGTGAGCCACTTGTTTTCATTTACTTGACTAAGCATGCAAGGGTTACTTTTAGGGTTTTCAAGAAGAGGCTTTTGTAGTGGTTTCAAAGTTTATAAAAAAACTGCAACAAAAGTATAGAGAAAAGTAGCAAATAGAAACATAGAAATTCCTTAGGTAGTATTTAAATAATGAATATTTAAATATTACTTGAACTGATTCACATTTCAATAATTTGTAAAGGTATACAAAATGTTTTCTAATTCAAAATGTTTCAAACTTGAGAGTTGTTTCAAGTTTGGAATAACTTGTTCTGCTGTTGTTAGATTAGTTCTGACCATTCCAGAACTGTTCCAAATTAGAATACTTTGAGAATGGTTGAAACAGGATTGGAACACTTCCAGGATATCTGCAATAACAATTTTAAATTGAAAATATTTTGTACACCATTAGTTACTTGCTCTGGCCATAAGTTAAACCTTGAGCTAGCAGTATTTGACAAAAAACAAACAAACCAGGAAACATTTCTCAGGCAGTCTATATATTACATTGTAAGGGTGTTACTGATAAAAATGCATTCATTACAGCCTAGGTAAACCAGATAAAAGTGAGACATCAGCTCTGAGAGTTCTAGAACATATCACATGCATTGATTTCAGTTAACACCAGTTACATTACCAAAGATAATGCTATTACAGCCATAAACTATTAAATTCTAAAACTTGGTTATTACAACTACATTCTTATTTATAGAATCCCAGCTTCAATAAATTAAACTACTACCTACAAGCAGACTTTACATCAAATCTGACTTTGTGAATAAGATGAAACAGAATGCCAATAATATGAGCGCCTCTTTTGTCAGGACTCTGATTATCTTTCAATTCTTTAGCATTTAATACATTAAGAAAAAACAAAACATTCAAGATTGAAGCTGCTAAATATTCTGCCTCTGTGTTGTTTTGAAAACTAATTAAAGCTGGGTGACTCCCTTGAGTTGTTATTCTCTACTGCAGGAACAAGTTATATGTAAGTTTACATCTATTCATATTTAATATTGAACACAAATAGAAAAAGTGGCAAGTCAAAGGTTATAGATCTAAAATATAATCTAAAAGGTGGTCCAACTATGACAGCTGATCTAATGCTTTACATGCACTAATTATAAACAGCTTTTATAGGGACAGAATATCTTCAAGCCCACCCTGAACTTGCCAGAAAAATGCAAGGAAGAAAAAACATCTCCAAACGTAAGCAAGTCACTAGCACTTCCAAGACCCTAGCCATTTGTAAAAGTACACTGACCCTTAGTTTACAGGAACGTCACCAGTGAAACTAGGTGGGTGACAAAGTTACCTAAACCGCACCCTCTGCCAGAACAAGTGAGCCTCTAACTCAAAATAGGAACCAACTTCCTCACAACGACACTCAGTTCACATTAAGCTCCTTACTCCACCCTCCTTCTAGATTGTGCAAGAACGACATTCTCGATGCATCACAGAGCCGCCACCACATACTTCCGCTCCTTGTCAGGAGCGGAGGCAAAAGACAAGGATTCCGCATTTAACAAAAAAGGCTAAGGCCTCTGGGCCAGGCCGACCAGCAGCTGCAATGGAGGTGGCCGAGAACGGAGACGAGCGTGCGTGTGTCAGTCATATTATTGCTGAAAGCGAGCGAAGAAAAAAGAGCGAGAGAGAAAGAGATCCCGGGGAGCGCCTGAACTGGCAAGCCCGCCGCCATCTTACAATGCGGGAAAGAAGTTCCTGGCCGGGGCACAGTAAACCGACGGCGGATGGGAGGCAGACGCCGCACACAGACACGTACATAACACATACACACAAACACGCACACAGGGCGATCCGGGTTAGTTTTTTATTATTCCCCATATGAAACGACTGGGGCCCGGGTGGTGAGCTACCTAACAGGCGGCTTTGTAATTTCAATGAAGGCAGATACGACGGCCGGCGGCAGCCGAACAGACTCCGGGGAGGACGAATCGGCTTGGGAGCCTCCGCGATCCCCACTGAGTCCCAACGGTCCCAAAGGGAGGCGGCAGCCTTCCCTCCCGGCTTCTTCCTCCGCACGGCGGCTCGGCCAAGCCGGCAGGCCGAGGCCGCTTCGGGGGCCCAGCTCACCTTGTTGATGCGTTTCAGCGCCATCCTTCCTTCTGCGCGGGGAGAGCGTCGCGGTAAGGGTGGTGGTGGTGGTGGTGGTGGTGGGTGGCCGCCGCGGCCGGGGGGGGTCACTCGAACTGCGCCTCCTTCGCCTCCGCCTCGTCGGGCCTGTCTGCGCCGCCGCTGCCGCACTCCCTCCCTGCGGGTGGGGGATGGAGTCGCTCGCTCGCTCGCTGCCTGCGTTTTTCTCCTTCCTCCGGAAACAGCCGGGGGCGCCCGCCCGCACCGAACACCAGCCGCGACGTCAACGGCGCCGCCTCTTTCGATCGGCGGATGTCTCCCGACGAGCCTCTCCGGCAAAAAAGCAGCGACGGCTCCGCGACAACCTCCTTCGGAGAGGAATGGGGGAAGAACGCGGTTAAACTCAGGTTCAGCAGCCACCGCCGCCGCCGGCGAGGCCAAGGAAAGGGCGGAGCTAGATATAGGTCCCGCCTCCTCCGCCACCGCCCTCCCCCCTGGGGCGGAGGCGGGCCTACAACGCGCGCCCGCGTGATCTCCCGCCCCTGAGTGCCTTCCGATTGGTGGAAGCCAGCAACGCTCAAATGCCGCTATAGGAAAAGAGACCGCGCGCTCATTCGGTGGAGCGAAAGTGGGAAACGAAGAGAGAAAAGGGATCTAGAGCATTCGCGCACGCGCCCTTCATCATATTTATTTTTTTCTTCGGCATTAAGCGAAAAAAGGGAAGGCGCACAAACGTCTTCGCTAAAGCTCTCGCGAGATAAACAGCGCTTATCTTCTGGTGGGGGGGAAAATCCCCGGCTTCGCTCACCAGGGAACGCGGAATGCGCGCGTCGAAACGTGAGCACATGGACGCGCACAGTCCTCCCACCCCACCTTCGGTTTTTTCCCTCTCTCGGAGCGCGTCCGCTTTTTTCCCCTGCCTCCTGCGCGACAATAACGACGGCCTCCTTGAACACTTACAGTCCAGCTGCCGTTAGAATCGGGATGAAGCGCGTGCGCGCTTTCGGCCGCCTCCAGCAAATACGCCGCTCGGCCCTCTTCTCCCTTTCGGGATTGCGCACTAGGTGAATGGCCGTCACGGCCGGATCTATTTAACGAGGCAGGTCTGGCCCTGTATCCCTCCGCACAGCTGGGCTGGGTCTGCGGGGCGTCTGTCGTTTCGTTGGATCAGCCCCCCACCCCCACCCCAAATGAGATGCTACCTGCTGACGGTTACGCTTCTCGGTATAGCCAGACTGTTCACGAGCTGGTTGACTTGAGTATATCTTAATGAAGTTCAGAGTCTGGAAGTGACCAAAATTAAGGTGCCCCTTTTTAAGAGTTGGAAATTGTTTTTCTCAACCCTGATTCGAACATATTGAACTTCTGAAAAATTATATACAAGGTGGGACTGCATTTGAACCCTACAATAGATTACACTCTGAAAGAATAAGGTGCTGGCCTAGAAATCGAGAGACTGAGTTGGACTCCCCGACCTTAGCCATGAAAAACCGGCTGAGCGATTTTGGGCAGTCACTCAATCTCACTCTCCTCACAGGGTTGTTGTGAGGAAAATAGGAGGAAGGACTATTGATAGGTTCACCATCGTGAGTTGCATATGAAAAAAGCGAGATAAAAATCGTAAAAAACACACTTGGTTCATCCATGGTAAAAATCATTAAACATGCTAAGCCACCAAGGAACAGAACATAACAGAGATAACCTGTGTTCCTCTCCCTCCCTGCCCCAGCAACCGAATGGTCCATCTTGTTAATTGCGAAGTCGTGTCAGACCCATCGCGACCCCATGGACAACGTTCCTCCAGGTCTTCCTGTCCTCTACCATCTTCTGGAGTCCATTTGTTATGACCATTGTATTCTCTTGACAAAATTCTATTAGCCTGTGCCCTGCTTCATTTTGTACTCCAAGGCCAAACTTGCCTGTTATTCCGGTTATCTTTTGGCTTCCTACCTTAGCATTCCAATCTCCCATGATGATAAGGACATAATTTTTTGGTGTTAATTCTATAAGGTGCTGTAGGGCTTCATAGAACCGGTCAATTTCATCCTCTTCAGCACCAGTGGTTGGGGCATAGATTTGGACTATTATGATATTGAATGGTTTGCCTTGGATTCGAATTGAGATCATCTGGTCCATCTTACCCCTGCTCTTTTTCAGCTGGTCAGTTTTAGTATCCACATATGTTGTATTTATGCATTAACCATGATTTTCTTACCTATGGATTACTCAATAAGGCTTTTTTGGGTGTATAGCATCTTGAAAATTAAAGCATTAGCCCAAACTGTTTGGCTAAATCTATTTCAATTTTCTATATATCCCACTTCTTCCTAAGACTGAGAGACAGTGACTCGCCCAAAATCACTCTTCTGTGCTCAAGGCAGGACTAGAAGATGGATTCCCCACTCCTTAATCACTTTACGAAATTGCTCTCAATTTTTTACTGTAATTTTATATTGCCTACATCAACCTATCCCTCAAAATGTACAATAAATACAAAAGTTATATTTAAATCAATATATGTAGAATACAGATCAACCAAATGATATCAATATAATGCCAACATACCTGTTCAAATAAAATTTGGCCCTATGGAGAACTCCAAAAAAAAAAAAAAAAATGCCAGCAGAGCTTCTGTGAACATGTTCCAAAGAATGGGCAGAAAACAGGGAAAGAATGCCTTTAGGCCTGTATCTTTTGAACTCTCAACATCCCTTCCCTTCATGAACACACAGAAAGATTCTGGACAAGGTCATCTCAAAGGCATTCTAGACCTAGAGCCAAGGTATATAATGCTCTATAAGTCAAAACCAGCAGTTAGAAATTGAGCCAATTGGCAACTAATGCATCAACCAAAGAATAGGCTCTATGTTTGAGGACCAATTCTTACTTGCTGTAATCTTGGTTACTACATTTTATAACAACTGTAGTTTCTGAATAATTTCCAAGGCTGCCCCCAGAGACTCTGTTACAGTAATCTAATCATGTAGTAATATGGTAATGTTGCCCGGGTATCCTGATCTAGGTAGGACTGGAAGTGGTATATCGGCCTCAGCTGGATGAAAGCCTTTCTTGATTCAGTTTTCATCTGCAGAAGAAAGACTCCCAAACTGCACATTTGCTCCTTCAACAGGAGAGCAACCCCCATCTACAACCCTACCAAGAATAAGTTATTTCTAGACAAATACATTTACTGGACTTTAGTTTGCACTTGTTTCTACCCATAACACAGTCTCCAGATACTAGATTGTGCCAACAGGACTTCTGATTTGGTCTGATATCAGCAATGATGATAGCTCACCCCAGACTGATGGAAAACCTCTCCCCAGTGGATTCACAGATTTAAATAGGGAGACTGTTGAGCTGCAGTGTATCTAGTTATCTCACAACTGCATCTACAACACATGTACACACAAACATGCACACTCTGAAACCAGGGCCACTACAAAATAGTGCCTCCAACTCCCAATCATGTAGGCAGTTCAGTAAGATCCATGATCAACAATATAAAAAGCTACTGAGGTCTAATAGGGAAAACCAGAACAGAACAGAATCTGGAAGGGACCTTGGAGGTCTTCTATCCAGCCCCCTGCTCAAGCAAGAGAACCTATACCGTCTCAAACAGGTGAATGTCCAGTCTCTTCTTTAAAATCTCCAGTGATAGAGTGCCCATGATTTCTGAGGGTAAGCTGTTCCAGTGGTGACTGGTTGATTGTCCTGACTGTCAGGAAGTTTCTCCTTAGTTCCAGGTTGCTTCACGCTTTGATCAGTTTCCAACCATTGTTTCTCGTCCTTCCCTCTGGTGCTTTGGTGAACAACCTGGCCCCCTCTGCCTTGTGGCAGCCCCTCAGATACTGGAACACTGCTATCACGTCTCCCCTATTTCTTCTTTTCTTTAGACCACTAGCCAAACCCAAGTCCCTTAGCTGTTCTTCGTATGTTTTAGTCTCCAGGCCTTTGATCATCTTAGTTGCTCTTCTCTGAATTTTTTCCAAACTCTCAACATCTTTTTTGTGATAAGATGACCAAAATTGGCTGCAGTATTCCAGGTGTGGTCTTACTAGGTTTTTATAAAGCGGTAATAATACTTCACATGATCTTGATTCTATGCCTCTGTTTATGCAACCCAGAATTGTATTAGCTTTTTTGGTTGCTGCTGCACACTGCTGACTCACAGTCAAGTGATCATCTACTAGGACTCCAAAGTCCCTCTCACAGTTACTGTTTTTAAGCCAGGTCTCGCCCAATCTGTATTTATATCTTTGGTTTTTCCTGCCTAAATATAAGACTTTGCTTTTCTCCACACTGAAATTCATTTTGTTGGATAGGACTCATTGTTCAAGTTTGTCAAGATCTTTTTGGATCCCGAGTTTGTCTTCTGGGGTGTTGGCTACTCCTGTCAGTTTGGTGTCGTCTGCAAACTTCAGAGTTTCCATTTCACTTTCAGTTACGAATCCAGATTAAAAGAATCCTAGATATAGTAATCCATTTCATTTACTGTCTTCTGAAACTGAACCTCCTTAATCTTTTGTACAATTTTTTCTCAAAAGGGAAAACTGTATGAGGGCAATAGCTACCTAAATTGAATCAAGAGATAGTTTCTTTCAAGGCTGGTGGCAATCATGTCCTCTTTTAACTTATCATGGAGAAAGTTTTCTTATTATAAAACCATCTATTATTAGAATCCTTACCATCTTTCTATTAGATCAAATGAATTTCTTATAGGATGTTATTTTGCCAATAATTAATTTGTTCAGTAATTGAAGTTATTTGGACAGATCATACAGTTATAGACTTTCTAAAAACAAAGAAAATAGTAAAATAAGTTTCAGGCAAAAATTTAAGAGACATTTTTTTAACAATATGGTAATTTGATAACCAATGCAAACAAATAAGGTTAAGGCTCTTACTGGAGTTATTTTAACAAAAAAAAAATAGATATTATCTTAAATGCTATTGTGGATTTCTTGACTGCAGTAGCAGGTTAGATTGTTAAGTCATAACAACCTTCCAGGTTCTTTTTAATTGGCAATCTTTAATATTACTTCCCGTTTCAGATATATTTAGTGTAACATTTGAAGTAAATTTTTGTTATGACTATATATGAGAGTTCCAAATATGGAGGCAGACCCATATTTTGGTTTGTTGTTGTCTAGAATGGGTCCGGCAAAAATGCAAGCTTTAGTTTAAATCTAGACTTCCAGCAGCAGCAGTCTTTTTCCCATGGTAGCCTGTGGATGGATAGACAGATGAAAATAGGCATGCTCCATTCATTTTAGTTATCGTTCTATCTTCTGCCCTTTAAATACAATGCTCATATGCAATATCCAATAGCCCATCACTACAGATGAGGAAATTTGGCCATCCCTATATATGGATTCTTCATTCCTGGGAATGAACCTGTGGAAGGAGAATATATATCTTATACAGTCCTTCTCATCACTCTGTAACAGTCATGATCTCTATAATTTAGGGATCTAAGGATACAACAGATTAAATTATATTCAAAATACTTTCATACCAATTCTAATTATTTTAAAATATGATTTCATGATTTTTAGCCAGGTTTTTTTTAGGTGCTATAAAGAAAAAGTTAACACATGAAATAAATAAAATATTTACATCTTCAAGTTTTTCTACAATGAAATCAATAGTACATAAACAATTCCATTGTGAAGATTCCAGATTCAAGTTATGCATGATTTGCAATAAATGTCTTCTGAAAAAAAGTTTATCCTGAGGCAGGCAAGGTGAATACCACTAATTCCTGAAATACATATAGATATAGAAATTAGGCAGCCATTACTCATCTTTCAGCTGATGCAACTCATCCTCCCTTAAAGTGATACATCCCACAGAAGTACACAGTTTAGTTTCTTGAGCTTCCACCTAGTTAGCTGCGTCAGCTAGCTTGAATAATTTTGAAATTGTTTTAATTTTTAAAAATCCTCTAGCTTCATCCTTATTTAGAAGATTGCCTCTAGGCTCTTCATGGGTCACATAGCATTCTTAGAAGTTAAAACTATTGGGTGGCAGTAGTTCTGTATTTAAAATTATATGTATATGCAGGAGAAATAAAGGTAAATTTGGGGGATAGAGAACATTCTAGGAATGGGAGAAAGGAACCTCACGACTTTGCTTCCCGGCAAGTGTACTCTATGACTGGTCATGTAATCTATGGCAACTAGTTTATCAGAGCACTTCTACTATGTTCACCAACCCAATGTATTCCTACCTTAGAGGTTTCAGGCAAACCACAGACATGAATAATTGGTTAACTTAATGAAAAGATTGGCATATAAATTAGTTCAGTACTCATTTTGCAGCCCCAGTGCATCTGACAACAAAACCATACATTTTCATAACGAGTCATATTTTATGAGATGGGCAGCTATATAAATACTGTATAAATGAATGAATAAGATTTTCCTGTTTTCTTTTAAAAGTTAGGGGCACAATAGATATCTAATACAGAAACTCAAAGCACCCATTTTGCTGCTTTAAATCCCACTCAAACCCCAATCTCCTTCCACACAACACCAGCAATTTTACTCTATGTATTCAGTCTAATACTATTATCCATCTCTTGGTCATATTTTCTAAGAAGCATTTTGGAACTGTGGGGCCCAAATTGGGCATGCCTTATATATGTGCTTTTTCTATAAGCTTTTTAGTGTATAGTTTTCTGTGTCTCTTTACAATGAACAGTGTATAGCACATCCTTTCGTCCTTGTTTCAACCCTTCCCCTACAAATGATGTCATGTATTTATTTAATTCTACATTATAACAGAATTCTGGAATGGTAATATTCAAAAGAATGTTCATAATCATTTAGCAGTAAAGCAGGTGATTTGCATGTCAAGAATGGCAATTCTAATGACCAAGAACATATCTCCCAGTATATTTGGCCTGACTAATATATATTAGTAGTCACTGCAGGATGCACATGTGGATAGTAACTCATCCTCCAAACCTGGGCAATGCCACCACTGAATCATTTGCATGAGGGAGAGACAGAATTTGAAGTAGCCTTTTCTTGTGACTGAGATGTCATTTTGCAGGAATGTGGTCCTTGGGCATAGCTACTTGACTATGACTTACCTAAAATAAGAAGGACTTATGTAACAAAACATATCTGCATGGCAATGCTCCGAAAGACATCCTGGAAAGGTAATAAAATATTTGGTAGAGTAAAATAACAAATTATGGCTTGGAAACAAAAACTTTTTAATACTATATTCTTGATTTCTTTTTTCTTAGTAGAATAACCTTTAATTCAAAGCTGTTGTAGCATGATTTTGAAAAATTCAGAATTTGTTTTGAAGAATTAATATTTTCAGCACTTCTATTTTCTAAAGTTTGGGTTTATTGAAGCAGACCAGGAAAGACTACTTTGGCAGAGGAAATCTGTTCTTGGCTTTTCTGACTATCCTTCTCTTGCTATTTTTTTTTTAATAAATGAAAGGTCTCTCTAACTTTGGATGGGTTTTATGGATAAAAATGCTATTCTTTATCACCGTTGTCTGATTCATCCAGTGTTTGTTTAGCCTCATGTTCAAAAGAATAGAATACATAAAATAAAATGTGTAAAGAATAGAATACACCTGCTACTTAAGAACATTGTAGTAGAGACAGAAGATAATATAATTTAAGACAGAATTCCAAAATGAACAACTGATAGCTTGCCAAAATAAAATATGTCTTGTTTTTTAATCTATGGCTTGAAATGTTCCATATTTAATTAGAATCATTTTCTGTTTTACAGTTGCAGTTAAAGAAAAAATAATTTTATATTGTCTACAGAGGTTGTCTTAATTATATAACAAATATGTGTCAAGTGGTTAAAATTAGGCCAACATTCAATTAGCATTAAAATATATTACATGACAGTGAGTCCACTGGGAGAGTTGTATATAATTTTGCTCAGCTGCAATTATGAGGCTCAAACATTCTTAATATTGTGCCTCAGATATGTAGTTATCTTAGATACTCTAATCCAGCGGTTCTCAACCTATGGGTCGCAACCCCATTTGGGGTCGATCGACCATTTCTCGGGGCTCGCCAAACAAGGCGATCCGCCATTTTTCCCCCTCAGGGGGCGCGGCCACGCATGCGCGCCGTGCATAGGCGCGCCGCCGCACATGCGCGGCACGTTTGTGTGGCGGGGGTCGCCGTCACACAAACGTTGAGAACCACTGTCTAATCTAAATACAGAAAATAGAATTATGATTTATGATTCAACATGAACATCAGGTTAATTACGGTATACTGTATATCAGGCCACTGTTTTTATTTAATCTAGTTTCTCTTTTATAATCTCTTTTATAATTAAATTCTGAGAATAACTGGAAAATGCCAATTTAATTGGTGGCTAAAAATGGAGGTTTTCAGTGCACCCTGTATTATCTATCATTTGTTAAACTTTCACCCCACCTTTCTTCCAAGAACTCAAGGTGGAATACAAAAATTCCTTCACAGTCATTTCTAAGGAATGGTCATCCTATGAGGTTGATCAAGTTGTGGATAGAACCTGAGTTTCCTACAGCAAATAAATGTTGCTGTTTCTCTATCATTGTAATTATCTATACCTATCTATATCTATATGCCTATGCCTATATCTATGTCTATCTGTTTGTCTATCATTCTTACATACTCCTATTTAATTTTATTTCACCTGACACAACAGCAGTTATCATATGGTATTTGGACCACAGAATTGGCCTGCAATTATGGGGTCTCCTCAAATATCACTAAAAGAAAAAAAAGTCTCCTTGTTAATTCTCTGCCAATATTGCCTAAAATCATAAAAGGCTACAGCCCTTTAATAGGTTTTCACCAATAGACTAAACATCAAAGGGACTACTTCATAGATGCTATTACTTCAAGAATACAGTTTGAAACATTTTTGCCAAGTTATATCATTGAAATTTAGTATTCAGTGTGGCCTGTATTTCTATTGATATATTTGTTAAATTACATTTTTTTGTGATTGAAATAACTGGAATTCAATCCCTGAAACTGTACAGGAAAATATTGCAGTTGACTGAGATATTCATATGCCAGGTAACAATTTTATGGCCATGTAAGTGAAATAAAATTAGATAAATAAGTTCAAGGCACAGGTGCAAAACATATAAATTGGATGCAAAGTTTATGCATTCATTTTCTCCACTTATTTTCAAAATATGTTCCTAGTTCAGGATTATAATGAGCTATGATGTTGCAGTACATAATTACATTTAAAAACACATTTGAAATAGATAGATAGATAGATAGATAGATAGATAGATAGATAGATAGTTGTTTTCTGAGGTTTTCGCGGGTATTTGTATGTAGGTCTTTGGTTGTTCGGGTTTTCTCCCGCGTAAAATTGGAAGTCGAAACGTCGCCAAGACACTTCCAATTTTACGCGGGAGAAAACCCGAACAACCAAAGACCTACATAGATAGATAGATAGATAGATAGATAGATAGATAGATAGATAGATAGATAGATAGATAGATAGATAGATAGATAGATAGATAGGCAGGCAGGCAGGCAGGCAGGCAGGCAGGCAGGCAGGCAGGCAGGCAGATCTTCACTGCATATGAGAGTTACTAAGATATATATAATCACACCACCTGCTGGTAGTAATACAATATTGTATTTGCTTCATTATACAAAGAAATGGACACTTTTGCCAGCCTGGCTGCTTTTGTACATATAGCTTTCAAATCTGGTATAAATCATCAATAGCAACTGGTTCAAGTTCGCAGGACACACATGAGCTCACATAACCTCACATAACCTTTGATTAAAGAGCTGTATGAAGGAGGAATAAGGTGGTACATTCTGTGGCCATATTGAATAAACAGGAATTTCGGATGTTGCACAGGGTACACTACATTCTACAATATAATAGGGGGGGGGGTTCTGCATTGATTTTGTGTTCTTTGAAAACCTAATCCTCTAAGAAAATTAACTAGGAAAATTAATTAGGAATGTAATAATGCTCCTTAGCTAAATTCTATTGTTTTTCCTGCTTTTAAAACTTCTATCTCTTCAACAAGTCTTTTCATTTTATATAAGCTAAAACTTAGTGAATGGAAAAGTGGTGTGGCAGGGGAAGCTTTCTGCTCAGGATGTTCAATGTGTCCCTGTGCTGAGAGAAGTTGAGATCAATGGGAACTTGCTCCAGGAATTTCTTTCAAGCATTTTCATTGGGCTGCAGAATCAAGAAGAGAGAAGAAATAAGAGGAAAGAGAAAATAAAAATATGGAAGACCATTGACTGGGATGAAGACTTTGCTAGGTTCCGAATTGCAATGTCCAGACTGCTAGCCTTTTACACAAATTCTAAAACAAGCTATGGGCTGCAATAAAATATAGACAGCTGTTTTGAACAGTTTTCCCTCAGTGTTTGTTTAATGGCAAGATTTTTTTCTTTTGAGGAAAAGCAAACAATATTTCAGAATTCAAAGACAGCTATCAGAATTAATAATAAAACAGGACTGCAAAGGTGGGCTTTATGCATAATACCACATAATAATGTGATTCTTTCATTTTGACTTAACTGTACTCTAAGGTTTAAGAAATTGTGTGAATTCCAGCAAAGACTATCAAGAAATTTCCTATTGGGTGCAATTTGATCTGCCTCATCCTTTACTTATGGTAAGTTGAATAAATCAGGGTTTGCAGAATTTGCACAACATACTAAACCATATTTATGATGAAAGTAATAAGGTTCAAGTATCATATTATGTAAAAACAACAATTCACTCATCTTCCCAAATTTAGTGAAATGAATTATAAAGTTATATAGAAAATTCATTTTGAGATATTGGGTGAAAACTGTCACCATGGGCGTTCATAGGAGTTCAGGGAGGCAAATGACATGATTGTGATTGCAATTGCAATTAGTGTTTGTAATTACACTACAATATCATTTGCTTGATGATGTCACAATGTGCATATCATTGTTTTGAGAACAGTATGGCTTGTTATGGATGTTTATGCATATGTGTATCCACTAATACTATTTTACAGTAGGATTCTTAAAATTATCCCTTTTGAGAATTCAGATTTGAGTTAAACTAGTTATTGGGCAAAATAGTTAAGAGTCCTCCTTCCAAAGAAAGAGGAAGAGGCTGATCTTTAACCCCAAGTAGGCACTAGCTTCTTAGCTGGATGAGGAAGGGCCTCCAGGTGCCTGAATCAAGTCTTGTCATGTAGAGACTGTACTTTTATTAGGGATTCTCCAGAAAGAACAAACAAATGATCCTGATTGGTCCTCCTCTCCCCCTTTTTTGGTTGAAAACAGTTCCTGCCTTCTAAGTATAATTGTTTTTACTGTTGAGATGAAGATTAGTGGAAGCAGGTTAAGGCTGCAGCCTGACTTGATGATAACTTTAGATACTAAAACTGTCTCTCCTTCCATGTAAACAAAGCAAAAATGTCCTGGAGTCGAGCTCGGCTTCTCGGGTCAACGTATCCACGTAACGAAAACTCTGGACAACCGCCAGATGGGAGAAATTAGCGTGGCAAAATTGTAACGCTCCGGCTTCCAGCGGTCTCCGGATACAGGCAGTCTCGCGTGGCATCTCTGTTTTTGCCAAGTGCTTATTCCAACCAAACGACAACAGCTCAACTCTCCGTCCAGCAACACACCAGAAGCGGTTGCTTTATCCCGGCCTTTTCCCAGCTTCCTAGCCTGGCCTACCGCAGATTCCAACTAGGGCGACGCTGCTTAACTCGTCACGCCTTCCGAGGCAGCTCCGGGTTTCCTTCCATCCCTAATAAAAGTACAGTCTCTACCTGACAAGACTCGCCAAACGCCCGCCCGGCCGCCGGACAAAGCCACGGCGCCTTCGCGAGAGGGCGGCGACAGGTCTATCCGCCCCGCCCTCCTTCCTCGGTAGGCCCCTCCCCCGGTGGCGCGCATGCTCCGTGGCCGGGAGCGCTACTGCTTCTGTGCGAGGAAAGAAGGGCAAAGTCCGACCCTGGCATGAAAGTTCGCCGCGCGAGCCGGAGATAACCCAGCGGCGTCCAGTGTCGCCCCGCCTGGCCCAAACCTCGCCCGGCGCCATGGTGCTGGATAGCTTGGCCCGCATCATCAAAGTGCAGCTGCCTGCTTACCTCAAGCGCCTACCGCTGCCGGAGAGCGTCGGCGGCTTCCTGAGACTCACAGGTTAGGGGGCAGCGCAGGGCTGTTTGGGAAAGGGAAAAGGAGGGCTGTTTGTGTGTGTTTGAGTGAAAGCTGTGGCTACGGCGTCATTTTCTGGCGCCCGAGGCACCGAGAAGCAAGAAACGCCACTTTGGACAAGCCTGACGTATCATGGAATATCCCCATTTCTTGCAAACCCAGCGTTTGCTCTCCGCTTCGCTTAAGAATGGACGCTTGCATAAAGTCAGCTCGGAAATAAACTCCGATGGATTCAATGGAAGGAAGTCGGGCAGCCTCCTCCGCTGCATTCTGTGGATTGACTACAGTGCCCAGTTTTCCGCCACGTGACGCTCCTTCCAGAGGGGCACACAGCAATCAATCAGAATAGAGTTGGGAGAGTTTCATGGTCTTCTAGTCCCCCTGCAAAGCACGAGACCCTGTACCATTCCAAAGTGACCATCCAGTCTCTTCTTAAAAGTCTCCAGTGGTGAAGGGCCCATAACTTTTGAAGGCAAGCTGTTCCACTGCTTAATTGTACTCAGTTAGGATGTTTCTCATTTACAGGTTGCTTCTCTCCTTGATTAGTTTCCATCAGTTATTTCTTGTCCAACCCTCTGGTTCTTTGGAAAATAAGTTGACCCTCTCCACTTTGTGGCAACCTCTCAAATACTGGAATACTGCTATCATGTCCCCCCTAGTCCTTCTTTTCTCTAGACTAGCCAAACCCAAACTCTGCAACCATTCTTCGTATGTTTTAGTCTCCAGACCTTTAATTATCTTAGTTGCTCTTCTTTGCTAAGTCTCAACATTTTTTTGGAATGTGGTGATCAAAACTGGATGCCGTATTCCAGGTGTGGTCTTACTAGGGCTTTATAAATGGTATTAATACTTCACATGATGTTGATTCTGTGCCTGTGTTTATACAACCAAAGATTGTATTAGCTTTTTTGGCTGCTGCTGCACACTGCTGGGTCATATTTAAGTGATTGTCCTCTCACAGTTACTGTTTTTTTGAGCTACGTTTCGCCTAATCTGTACTTGGACATTTGCTTTTCTCCACATTAAATTTCATTTTGCTAGATAGGGCCCATTGTTCAAGTCTGTCAAGATCTTTTTGAATCCTGAGTTTGTTTTCTGGGGTGTTGGCTATTCCTACCAACTTAGCGTCATCTGCAACTTCGATGAGTCCTCCTTCTATTCCCTCATCTAAATCATTTGACTGATTTGAGATTTTACAGTTTTAAGTGTATATCTAAATTGTTTTGATGTTTTATTCAAGCCACTCAGGAAATTGTATGCAGTTGGATAGAAATATATATATAAGTAGTGATGATTGATAACATTACATAATATATTTTTCAAGGATGTATTTTAGTAAATTTATATGGCCATCCATCTTCCATGTACTCTGGGTAGCATGCAACCATTAAATAAAAATATATAAAAATTAATACAAGCCTCCAGTAGAGAGAATAGATTAAGCACAATGCCGGAACCACCTTAAGATATCCCAGGTCCCTTAAGACCCCCCCCCCCAAAGTCAGGTCTTGACAAACCTATGGAACATTAGCAGTGATGGAACTAACCTCCCTCTGGAAGGAGGATAATGTTCCACAAGCAGGGCATCAGGGCAGAGAAGGCCAGCCAAGCCAAGCAAACAATGCATGCTCTTTCTGCCAGCTCTAATGGGGGGACAGACAGTTGCAATTGTGGACGGGTGGTCCTGCAGGCAACCCAGTCCCATGCCATGAAGTATAGCAATATTCTTCAGTGGAGATAAATTATTTTTTTTTCTATATTAAATCCTCTTTTATCTCTACAGTGGTATGGTTAAATGAATCAGCTACTATGCCTTTATGAACTTTTTCCGTGCATATTTCTGTCCTATTTTTTAATTTCTCATATTTCTAAATCATTCATCACTGAAAAGAGTGATAAATGATGATAAAAGAGTATTTGTAGCTCAGAGTTGAACTGTGGGGTCCTTGGTGCTCTCTGAGGTTGGTAGTTTTCTTGCAGGCACTTCACTACCAAACTAGGTAACATCATCACTGCACTTCAATCTACCTCAATCATAGCATGAATGGAATAGTCATGTTGGAGACAAGACATCAATATAAACTTTGGGACAGTAATTGGGGAGGAAAGGTATGTGAACTTATTCTTCAGAAAGTAAGCCAAACACTTGTTCTTTTTCTAATGTTAATAGAAGAAGGATCACTTCTCTTTCATGCCTGAGCATGATCAATTTTCCTGATTCCGCATGAGACATGGATACTTTGATGTAAATGTATCTGCCAAATGGCTTGTTAATCTTGTTTTCCCTCTCTCTTAAAACTACTGGTTAGATGTATACAACATGCCAAAGTAAGTCTACCAAAGATCTAATAGCTACATATACAAAACATAAGGTTGAATACTTTTAACCTTGTTAATTTGTAAAAAGGTAATTTGTTTTATTGTGTGAATTCAGTTGACTTGATTGTGCAAACTCAAAAAATAAGTTAATTGTCAGCAGATTAAGTTTGATTTTGAAAGTCTACCCAGAGATAGTTTTCTAAACAAATATGGTATATCTTGTTTCCAGCTATGAACTGTTCCTAGGCTGAGCTGCCTAATTAATTCAGAGGTTTGGAGAGATAAGTAAGCTTCATCTCAAATGAGTGCATTGGCTCTCTAGACCTTACATAGCTACAAGATTAAAAACCAGTTAGAAGTGAAAAGCACAGCTGAAAGGCCAGTATAGGGTAGAGCAGGGGTCCCCAACCCCCGGTCCATGGACCAGTACCAGGCCACGGCATGTCAGTAACCGATCCGGACAAACAAGGAAAGCCCCATCCACAGGATGCAGGCAGCACACAAAACCAAACCCCCTCTGGTCTGAGGAAAAAAATCTCTATGTAACCAGTCCCTGGTGCCCAAAAGATTGGGGACCTCTAGGGTAGAGAATAAAATGCTTTAACAGAAAAGGAATCTTGTTCAGCCTGCCTTTCTTGATTGAATGCAGAGCAGCTTTGGAAATTTTATCTATCAGTTTGTGACGAACAAAAGACTTTCCTGTAGCAATTTCACATGGAAGGTCACCTTCAAGTCCATAATTTTATTGCCTCATTTGCCTCTTCCTGTTCCATTCATGTGTGCTCTTGCATCAGGCTAGATATCTGTTGTTAGCACAGTTACAGTAGATAGAGAAGCCCATCTGTGCCTGACATGCTGCTCCCAGAATATGGTATTTTCTTACGTTAGCCGAGCAAATTGGTCATGAGGTAAAAGGATGCTTCCATGGAAGGATGTTTCTAAAAAGTATTGTGCAGTTATTTTGCATAACAGATTTTTGGGTAACAATAGAAAAATTTCAAGACACAGTAAGAAGAATACCACATATAAAAGATTTTCTTGTAAAACTCTAATATACTCAGCTCCAGGAGTGCCACAAGAAGATCTACACCAGTGGTTCTCAACCTGTGGGTCGGGACCCCATTTGGAGTCGAACAACCATTTCACGAGGGCCGCCAAACAAGGCTGTCCGCCATTTCCCCCCCCTTTTCTTTGGCCACACCCCTGGCACCCGGTGCTGTATAAGTGGTTGGGGGTCACCACAATATGGGGAACTGTATTATGGAGTCGCAGCATTAGAAAGATTGAGAACCACTGATCTACACATTCTAGAGGCAGATGGATCAGTGTTTCTGCTCTCTTTACTTTGTATATTCATATTAGATGTAGTTTCATAAAATTGGCTTTTTCTTCTGTTTTCAAAGACCTTCATCTACGTTTTCCTTCAAGCTGTGTATTCTACCCGAATTTGGATTTGTTTTTTTAAATCAAGTTTTATTAGTTTTTCAATTTTTACAATCAAAGTACTTAGGAAACAACGTGGTGATGGGGTAATCAATTATCCAAAAACAAGGTCATATATATATAGTTCAGGTTAATTTCTTAAAAGTTCCCTCTCTGTTTCCCTCAATTAATATGCCATATTCCAATTAATAGATTTCTAAATATAGTTCAATCAATCAATACAATTATCAAGATTTTACTAATACAAATACAAATCCTGTTTTTACGCTTTGCTAAATTCCAATTACCATATTTCAATTTAGCCTTGAGTAATCATGTTGTTTATCCTTCGGGTATCCCTCATTTCCCTCATTTTGTAACATAATAATTATGATATCTAAAATAATTATATTGTTCCAAAAATTACATTCTTACTTTTCCCAACTATGTTCTATTTCTTATCCTAATAACTCCATTTACTAATACCATGTCTTCCATTATCACAATCTTTTTCCTTGTTCTCATTCCATTACAGAGTGATTATCATATCTAAAATAAACATATTATTCCAAAAAATATTTTACTCTATTTCACTTATATATTATATTTCTTATCCTAATAACTCCTCATTTAAAACCTTTTCCATATTACAATTTCGAACTATAATCTAACCAATAGTTTTCATCTCAATTATAAATCTTAGTCCCAGGTATTGAATCAGTCAATATCTTTTAAAAGCCTTTTTTACCTATTAAGTAGAATTTTAAATCCCTTAAATATGACTCTAGCTTTCTTTTTGTGCCAAGTGGGTTTCCATAACAGACCCTGTGTCATCAAATAGGTTTCCCTTCATTCCTACACTTATCATTTGAATCAAGGGAGAAGGTCCAATTATCAATTTTTCAAAGGGACTAGTTCCTTTGTAATTATTCAGTTGTTGCCCTGACAATTCAAATCTCAATATTTGGTTAAACATGTTTGTCATCAATTCAGTCTGATCGTCTTCCTCTTCTCCTTCTTCCACTGTCATCTGAGTAGCATAATCGGTTATGTCCAGTGTTGTAGTTGCTAATTGATTGTTGAAGTTGTCACAGTTCTCAATATGTCGTGTTTGCACATCAATTGCTTTTGAAGTTACATATGCTTTAGTTAAAGTCACTCTTGGATCATCAAGGTTCTCAATAGGTTGTACATAGTATTGTGTAAAGTCCTCTTTGACATTGGTTTGTTCCTCTTCTATTGTTTTTTGGCTTATAGAATGGTCAGTTGGAGTCTGGAAGTCAGTTTTGGGGCAACATCTTTGGCTTTCGTTCTGGAATTCATTTGCTCAGTAGCTTCAAGAATTTTTTTCCAGTATGAGTTTATAATTAAGATGTGGATAAGGGTCCTCCATCTCATTAGATTGTAATAGTGTTGTGTAAAGTCCTCTTTAATGTTAATCTGTTCCTCCTCTGCTATTCCTTGGCCTGTAAATTGTTCAGTTAAAGTTTGGGGTTCAATTTGTAGTTCTGGAATAACCTCTTTAGCTTTGATTCTAAAACTTATTTGCTCAGTAGCTTCAAGGATTTTTTCCAGTATAAGATTATAGTTAAGTTGTGGGTAAAATTCCTCCATGTCTGTGGTGGTTAAAAATAATCTTTTAGCCTTTTACTGGAGGCTATGTTTAATAACAGTCAGCCAATGTCCACCTCCACAGTTTCTAGCAGTTAGTTTCACCACCCAGCTGTTTT